TAGATAGTATTTTCAGAAAGAACCGGAAATTACTTAGAAAAAGGATTTGCAATTTTTTCGAAAATGCTACTGCTGCCCTTTCAAATGCTATTTTGTGAGAATTTCAGTGGCGTAGAAGTACTTCTGAAAAATAACATTTTAGTCCACTTCTAAACTTTTACTAAATTTGAAATTGCAAAATACTCTTTAAATCGCACTGTAAGTAATCGTTTGTTTTTGTTACTAATTCCGCGGAATTAAAAGCAGATGCCTAGCGATTAAAAGTGACGCTTTACTACGGATTAAAACTGCACTTTTAAATTCGCAATGTGCATAGAAAATGATTAATATCTTTTAAACTATCGATTGCAATGGTGTAGAGTATTGTGGATATTATAGCATATTACCTTCAGTTTAGATTGTTTATTGCGTACTTGAATATGAAATTTGAAAACATTTTGAAGTAAAGTGCCGTTTTAAAGTTAATTTCGGGGAGTAAAATAATAGTCAACTCGCGTGGAAATAAAAGTAAGTCCATAGGGATGAAGAGTGGCATTTTACAAGAGATTAAAATTATACTCGGCACTTTCCCACAGATTAAAATCTGCACTTTAAATTCTCGGTGTACATGGAAATGATTAGTGGATTTAAAGTGTTTCCGAAAAATTTAAAATTTGTAAACATTTTGAAGCAAAGTGAAACTTTTAATTAGCATGGAATTGAAATTAGATCTCTAGGGATTAAAGGTGGCACTTTGTTAGTGATTAAAACTGCACTTTTAAATTGATGATGTGCATAGAAGATTAATATCTCTTAAACTATCAGTTGCAGCGGTTTAAAGTATTGTAAAGGAAATTCGCTACATAAAATCTTTTTGGAATAAGTGATGTTTTAATGCCTAATTCAGAAAGTGACACTTTTAATTCGTATATAATTAAAAATTGATCCCTAGGGATCAAAAGTGGCACTTTATTAGAGATTAAAACTGCACTTTTAAATTCAAGATATGCATAAAAACCATTGATATATTTTAAAATATCGGTTGCGGTGGTTTAAAGTATTGTAAAGGGTATTATCTTTAGCTCGTTTATGGTGTAAAGCGCTATTTTAATGCCTAACATCAAGGTGTAAAGTGACATTTTAATTTGCGTGGAATTAAAAGTAAGTCTCTAGCGATTAAAAATTGTACTTTATTAGATATTTGTATCAGTGTAAAGGGCATCCTTTTTAGTTTAGATTAGATTGTTTATTGAGTTCCAGAAAAACTTGAGATTTGGAAAACTTTTGACTAAGTGCTGTTTTAATACTAATTATAAGTGCGGTTTTAATACATGGACTAAGCGCTGTTTTAATACCTAATTTTAGGGAATAAAGTGACATTTTATAAATGCGTTTTGTGACATTACCAGGGTAATTTGACAGCTGTCATATATATTTTATATCTAAATATAATATCATTTTAACTGATAACAAACAAGCGCTTTAATCCTATTGTATATACAAGTATAAGTGAGATATAAAAAAGTACTACTAGTATTGCTACTAGCTGTTTATTAGATATTGCTGATGTAATTCAATGCTGGTCGGGGCAGTAGTCCGCAGGGTAGTTGTTTCACTTTAAAACTGGCGAAATGTTGAGGCTTTCTATGATTTTTGTTACTAAATGAATATTTATGATTTATGTGTCTTTATAACAGAGCAAGAGCTAACATTTGACTCTCGTCGAAGTTTCGGCTTAGCATGAAGCCATCTTCAGCGCGAAGCTCGCCGAGAAAATGCATTGGAGGTCGCCGATTTCAAAAAGACTCGCTTTAAATTTGCAATCCGTACACCTCAAATGATTGCTTAGATTCCTGAGCGGACAACGTCGTCCATAGCAGTCTAGATCCCGATTATTTATCGCGTTAGATTTTATTCAGGCCGGCCGCGAAAAAAAAATTAATTAACGCCGCGGACGCATTTCAATACGTTCAATTCGTTTTCAGGGTTAATGTCTGGCCGCGTCTGATGCTTTGGCGAATAATGTAATAATCGTTTATTGGCCGCCATAAAAATATAGTTAAAATTTTTAGACTGCCGCCCGACCGATTATATTCCGAATATATCCAGATAGATATTTATAGTGTGCATTGATTTTGTTCCTCGTTAATAACTGTAATTTTCTATTGGCCCGTCTGCGGTGCAGCGGCGTGCCGAATACGGACGATAATTGATGAATATATAAAAAAAATAAAACATTGTATTTAGTATCAGGAAAGGACCCAAAAAAATAATCAAATATAGATTGTGAATTGTTAAATAGTGAGAGATGCAGTTTTTCGCACTATTTTTCATTTTTTTTTTACTATTTGAGACGAATGTCACAGCGTTCTTTGATGTATTCTTAAAGGCACCAGATTTTAATTTTAACAGAAAAGAAAAACGATATTTTTTTTATCTATAAAAAAGTAGGTCCCATGCAATTATTTTTTTGTCTTTGTGTGGCATTAATATAAAAAATATGTATCAAAGTTGGTGCTGGAATCTTGCCCTGAGAGGTTAGACTACTTTTGCATACCTGGACTTCCGGTCACGAAGAACATTATATGATTTGAAAAAAATGTTTTGAATTTCTTTGAATTCTTTGCAATAAAGTAAAAATGTGAGAGCTAATAATAAAACATATTTTTTTATTTTTATTTCCGCAAGATCCTCTTAACAGTACACGCCACTGGTGACTTCAAATTATACTTAACATACATAAAATTTGGCCATTGGGTTCACCAGACGAATATTTCAACTGTCTGATAATATAATCTTCAAAAAATTGTTTGCAGAATTCAGGTTCAAATTATTATTTGCCATAGATAAAGATTCCTTTGAAATTCTCGGACATATTATGTATATGCAAAATACCACATATTTATAGAAATCAGGAGAATGATTAATATTAAAAAATTGTAACTTAAATAATATATTTAGTATTTTATATTTATTTGGATTCTGTAGTTCTAGATTAAATTAGTTTTACTGCTAAGTATTAGCAACAAATTTATGAAATAACAGTTTTCTCCAGAGATTCAAAATTGCGTTTTTTTATAATAAAATTCTCATAATTTATTTCTTTCTTTTAACTTTATACTTCTTTTATCCATTTTTTTGAGAAAGTAACCAGGTCTTGATAAGAGCAAAAAAAAATATTGTGAAAATTTATACACTATTCAAATATATGTAGATATAAGTTAACCGGTCTCCTTTGATATTTTTTGTAATTGTAAAACTAAAATCGATTGTCACTCGAGGACACTAATATAAATTTGAATTTTAATGCACCACTAATAAGAATTTTTCCCGATCTCCTAAAAAATGTACGGGAAATTGAAGAAAAAAATGAAAGTATGGAACATGGAAATCAATTTTAATTCTGAAGAAGTTTTCCTAATACAATTTTTTTGTATAAAAAGACATTTTACCAGCACAAAAAATATTCTTTTTGCTCCTGACAAGGCTTACATAATTTTTCGGATTTTTTTTAACCAAGCTGAATCTTTCCTCAAAATGTCAGATTTCTGCGCAAAAATGTTTTCTCATTGACACATACGGTTAAGAAGACATATGAACACCCTGTACATGTTATTTATCTGTTATAGTGTATCATTGAATTTTAAAAATAAAGTCAACTGCTATATATATATGACAGAAGCAAAATTTTAACAATTACGACCTTTTTTTATATAATGAAAAATGAAAAAATATCCCACCTTCCCAAATGATGGACTACTTATAAGTTTTTAATAGGGGACACATTATATATGTTGACTTACCTTAAAACTACATTTTTCTACATTTGAACAGAAGTAGAATTTTTAATACAAATGACTGTCCCACAAAATGAAAAAATAAAAAGTTGTTTATTATGTATTTTTTACTGACCCTCTAAATTTTAATGTTACATTTTTCTTTAATATCTTTATAAAATAGATAACGTGTAATTTGTGGCATCTATAATAAATGCAACTATTTAGTTATTTCTACATTTCGAATATGCGATGTTTTTTTTTCTTAATTATTATATACAAGGTGGTCACGTGAAAAATGCGCCGTTATTGTTTCCGATACCAAAATATAAGAATTAAAGTTATAAGGATTTTTTAAAATTTTCCGACACGACATTTTTTGACAGACGTCACATGTTCGGGATATAGACCCAACTAAGGTTCTTTTAAATGGAACACCCTGTAGATCGTTACCATTTGCAAGACAGTTAAAAGAACTTTTCAGAAATATGTTGTGTCGTACTTATCTTTAACGGTTTTCGAGATATTACGTATTTTAATAAAATTTCACTTAGTAGCCATGGAAGAAGAATGCTGTTATTCTGTCAGCTAATGATTAACTTCGTACAATGTTTGCAGAAGTAGAAAAGTGCGATGGAGCGACAGTTTATTTAAAATTTCAGGCAGAAATTTTTATTTATTCGTATTAATCAAAACTTTCCTTCAGTACATACTTTTTGGTATTTGAATATCAAATGGAAGACAACAAAATGTTTGAAAAATTAAAAAACTAGTAACAATATTATGCAAATATGGCGAAATGAAAAATAAAAGTGTTCGTTTGTTAAAAACTGTGTTCCTTATTGAAAACGTTTAGTTTATTTAATATTTTATAAATTTTTCCTGTATCTACAAAAAAATTATTAATTTTTGAGAAATTACCACGTTGTATGGCTTTGGCGGCCTTTTCAGCGGTTTAAAGATGTTTAATTAAATAATAAGTTAGGGTTATATCACGGAAATTATAAATTTAGTGGAAATGTGGCACGTGTGTCAAAAAATTCCCTACAACTTTTAATCTTACTTTTATTTTCGTGTCTCGAGCTATGAGGAAGAAAAAGAGGGTCAATTTTCGCGTGACCACCATTACAAAATTAGGTGATGATTTTTGGGAAGTTTTTCCGAGCACTGGTTCATAGAATTTAGATATACGTTTCTATTTAAGTTAAAAATTACAATTTTTTAAAAATTGGCGTTGTCACTTACCTTCTTCCGCGAAGGAGATGATCTCGGACGTCCTGCCGTAAAAGTCGTCAACGTCTACAGTCTCCATGGTACTACTCTTAGCGCTAGTGGTAGAAAAATTCTCTTCGCTATCGAAATTCCTTAAAAAATCACTATTCTCGTCCTCCGCCCTGTACAGGGTTTCCCAAACGATTTCTTTTGGAAGACTATGTGTCACGTTTGGCTTCTGCCTCAGCCCCAGCTTGGACAGGATCTGCTTCTTGATCGCCTCCAACCTGAGCTTGTCCGTCTCGGACTTCTCCCTGTCCCTGTCGTTCTTGTAGAGGCAGTTCGGACAGCTCAATACCGGGTTCTTGGAGCTGTCCTCTATCTGGGTTTTTTCCATTTGGGACCCGGACTCCTCGTTCACCTTTATGTGGTGGTGTCTCACCCTCTCGCCGTTCACCAGGGTGCAGGAGATCGTGCTGCAGAGGAGGTACAGGCACGAGAGCGCCGCCGTCCAGTGCGACTTCCTGTTGTAGTAGTTTTTGAAAACAGCCATCTTAGAGTTTATTTTAATTTTTAATTTTTGGACGGGTCGAAGAATTCCTAAATTCCCAAAGTTAAATTTCCTATTACCTCGAATAATTTCTATATTTTCTATCTACTGATTCGCACTCCGTTCTACCTTCGAGCATGTTGCCCCCTTCCTTACCGCAGGTTGCAGACGAAGGTTTCCACTAGCGCTCTGCCCACGGGAAGGTTTTTTCGACGCTGGGTCCTGTCGCTGCACATCTTCACCGACGCCTAGCGCGAATACGACTGGAGGAAAATCCTCTATCGGTCGAACCACATAGATTTTTTTTTACCACAAAGTCATCTCACTGTTAACGGAAATGATCGGGGTAGACTTGCTAAGGCTAACGATATCTCTACAGATTATCACCGTCCCGTGCGGGGCAATTAATCGGGCAAATTCGAAAAGTCGTGTGTGTGTGTATGTGTGTACGTGTGTATGTGCGCTGGTCTATCACTCAAAACTTGCCGTCCTATCTAGCGGGCCGGCGCGCGACTCGCGATTGTTACCAATGCGGCGTGCGGATGGCAACTGACTACCATGCTTCCATGGCCTGCTAGAGTCCGTTGTCAACTTTGTAGTAGCTTGTACTATATCAGTTGATCCGTTAATGGGGCATTTTTGGTTTTCGATTTGGCGAGGCGACGGCGGCGGCGGCGGCGGCCTGCATTTCCAGTGCCCACTTTTCCGGAATTGGTTTCGTTTAATTAGCGCGTCGATTCGTGCGCCGCCCGCTGCTTCGCCGTATGAACGAAAATAATAATAATAATCTAGAAAGGACAGAAATACTCAAAAACTATGGGTTTTATTTTCACGATTCCAGATCAGGTCATAGGCACAAATGCTTATAAAAAACATATTTTTTCGAATTTTATTGATAATATGCTATTTTACTAAATTCAAAATCGTTTACGAAATTCGCACTTTACTACATGAAATGTCATTTTACTATACAGAGTGTTTCAGAAAGACCTCCCGTAAATTCAGGGGGTGATAGTACGACAAAAAATAAGAATTTTTTGTCTTATGAACTATATGTCTATCTCCTCTTGTTTTCGAGATACCGAGCGACAAAATAAAATTTTTTAAATACCTAGAATTTTTACGAAAATTTCCAAACTGTGCGAAACATTTTTATGAAATTTGGTATTCCGGGGTTTTTAAGGACGCCAAATACGCTCGTCTAATTATTTTTTGTATATTTTATAGAGGACGCTAGTTATGCTACATTCGTATTACATTTTAAGTTCTAATTTTTTTGAGGTTAGGTTTTTGTAATTAGTCATTACTAACTACAGTCATTAATAATCATTAAAATTTTGATATAAAGTTAATTAGAGTTTAAAATATTACTGAGAATGTATGCGTAGACATGAGACATCCATCAATAAGTTTTGACGTAAGCCTACTTTGAGAAAAGGCACTTATTTTCTTCACCGTAATATTGTAAGAGTTCAATTAAAATCTTTTTTCTCGAAAACCGTCCACATTAGGAAGTTCTAACAAGGGTATATTATTTTTAGAAAATAAAATTGTACATTAGAAATTGGAGCCCGAATGATAAAAACCTAACCTTAAAAAAATTAGAACCTAAAGTGTAATAGGAATGTGTAGTGTAACTAGCGCCCTCCATAAAATATCCAGAAAAATAATTAGACCAGCGTATTTGGCGTCCTTAAAAATCCCGGAATACCAAATTCTATTTAAAAAATGTTATTTTGTCGCTCTGCATCTCGAAAACAAGAGGAGATAGACAAAGATATAGATACCAAGACAAAAAATTCTTATTTTTGTCGTACTATCACCCCCTGAATTTACGGGAGGTCCTTCTGAAACACCCTGTATAGTAATGTTACTGTTAATAAAAAAATAGTGTGACAGAAATTTGTTTATTTAAATATTGGAAACATTGTTATACAGGGTTTTTCATAGTACAATATTTTAAGGAGATGTTTAGAAAGTAATTTGGGGGGGGGGTCGGGGGGGAGTGAAGGGGGAGTGAGGCCCCCTGAGAAAATATTCAAATCTCAAAATGGTCGAAAAACTAGCTTTTATTTTTTTTCCATGAAGACGGTTAAACTTAGAAATTTGAATTTTGATACACGTTAACAACTAGTTGAATGGTACTTTTTGGTAGTTTTTTTCTGGTTTATGTCTTTGAATGAAAGAAATTAGCACCACCTAGTTTTATTTCTCTCACAACTTTTTTCTACGTTAGCCAATTCCAACAAGAAAAAATAGCTTTTAATACTACATTCCATTTAGAAACTCTTTTTACTCTTCCCAATTTTTCGTATACTTAATCGTTTACGAGCAAAAAAATAAATTATTTTTTCTTGACGAATAGGTAGGTACACATAATTAGTATAACAGTTACCAAAAACATCGTCATTTTTGACATGATTTTTGTAAAAATTATTTTTTTATAAATAGGAAAAATTAAGCAAATATAAACTAAAAATTTAATAAATAAAATGAAAGCAATTCGGTCATTTTGATATTTGAATATTTTCTCAGGGGGGGGGGGCTCAAATCGAAACAATATATTAGAAATACCCCCCCCCCCGTAAAATTACTTTTTAAACACCTTAAAATATTTGCACATCATTATGAAACACCCTGTATACTGTGCGTGTACCAAAATGATAGAACAAAATTCATATTTTTTTTCCAGTTCAGATTTAAAAAAATTGCTGAAACAGGTCAATTAGTAAATAGAAATTATCACTTTTCTGCAATATTTTCTATTTTTTTTAGCCATGTTTGACATTACCGATATTTTTGTTTAATAGGACGCTCTATATTTTATAGTATAAATAGATAACCTTTCCAAAAACGAATTCAGTGATATGAGGTTAAACTTACTTTTTTGTCATAGTTCTCAAAAAAAATGTAAAAAATTGTCTTTTATGTCGGACTGACGACTATTTCAAACAATCATAGTCTCTTCTGTACTTTAAAGAACGTACCTACTCTTTATTAATCTTTTTCTACTTACTTTAAAGCTTTTTTTTCTCAAAAAAAAAACACATCGATAAACACATAAAATTCACCAGAGTACCTTAGGTATAACGTGAACAATTTTAGTTCCAATTCATTCCTTGTTAAATTATTTTGAAAAATGGTTGCTCGTTTAAGTGAAAAATAGAGATTTAAAATATTAATTATGATTGGTGCGGAGATAAAATCTGTAGTCAACAGGAGGTATGTGACTTATTTCACCATAAGTATCCACACCAGAGAATTAGTCGAGCTACAATAAGTAAAGAATCCAAAAAATTTGAAGAAACCGGAAGTATAAAAGATTTACCTGGATCAAGAAGGCGAAGAACGGTAAGCGAAAATGGCCGTCAAATTGTGATGCTCGCCTTTACTGAAAATCCTCACTCATCCATTAGATCTATCTCAGCCAACTTCAACTTGTCGAAGTCCTCAGTTCACAGAACTCTGAAGTCTCAAAAGTGGCATCGTTACAAAATTAACGTCTTACAAGAACTATGAGCAGATGACACAGACAGAAGATTACAGTTTTATGAGGAAATTAGAAATTTATTTGAAAGACAACCTAACTCAAAAAATCACATCATTTTGATTGACGAAGCAACTTTTTGCTTAATTCTTTTACAAGGAATATCCATTTGAATATTTTTACAACTTTAATGTAACACCCTGTATAATTCACTTATGCTTAATTTTTTTAAGTTTAAAATTTTAGGATTAGTGAGACAAGATTTGATGGGTCTATCTGCAACGGTAAATAAAAAAAAGAATAGATTTTGATGCAAATTGGTACGGGGAGAGTTTTGATAGTGTAAAAAATCACTATAATTTTTCAAAATTTGGCCCTTAAAAAAGAAAAAGCGTAGCAGATTAGGATTTAAGGAAGTTATAGTTTTCAAATATGTCTGTGCTTAATAAAAAAATATTCTATTTCTTAAATTTATTATATTAATTAAAAATAACAGAAAACTGAGGTGAGTACGCCTCTGTTTAGAGCAGCTTCTCCCGAACTCTATCAGTTCGGCATTCAGCAGTGCAGCAGTTCTCAAAATGTACAGTTATTCCATAAAATTTACAACGCCTTAATGCGATGTTCACTTGTTTTACATCGGAACTTTAAATAAAACAATTAGAAAAATATCTACAACTTTCTCGAAGACGCCGCGACCGATTAGTATAACGAAATGCCGCCCCGCGCCAACGGCGTCCTCCCTAAAAATCTTTTTACTTGTCGCTACGGTTTGCGTCCGGCCCGACAGCCGCGGTTGTAGATTTAGAAAAATAAAAGACTCGTCTAAGACCCGGCCATCGCTAAGAGATTACATCTTAGACAAAAGAGGATCCGGCGGCCGGAGCACATATTTTGCAATTAATGCCAATAAATGTACCGAATAACTTATGACGAAAGTTTTCCGCTCGATTTCCCACATTTCCCAACTTTTATTAGCGCGCCCGCCCTGGTGGGGAGCTAATTTATGGTATCGACGCCCTGAGGGGCGCCCCGTTTTAAAGATGTCGCGCTCGGACAAGCGGTTACAGGATTATCTTAATGAGGACTAGCGGCCAGCAAATTTAATTTTAATCCTTGGGAATTCATTTCAAACCCTCGGGATTCATTTTATTTTCCAGGAATTGATTTATGTTCCTCGGGATTAATTTCAATGCCTCGAGATTAATTTTAATCCCACGGGATACATTTTAATCCTTGGGAATTCATTTTAAACTATTTGAATCTATTTTAATCCCCCGGGATTCATCTTAATTATCCAGGAATTGAATTAATTTCAATCCCTCGAGATTAATTTTAATCCCAAGGGATACATTTTAATCTTTGGGAATTCATTTTAATCTTTTTGAATTCATTTTTATCCCTCGGGATTCAATTAATTATACCAGGAATTGATTTAAATTCTTCGGGATTAATTCCAACCCTTTGAGATTAATTTTAATCCCATGGGATTCATTTTAATCAGCGGAAATTCATT